GGGGGGGGTGAGGCAGGGCTGTCTAAGCAAGTGCCCGGTGTGAGCGAGATTGTTGTCTGGACACAGGGACCTCAGGAAGCAAGCCTTGCAGGTGCGTGCCAGACTGGTCTGCTGAGCCCGCCCACTCACACCTGTATTTGCTCTGCGGTGATTGCCATCCGGGCAATTAGAGAGGGAGCAGGCGGCCGGCAGGCAGGCACCACACTGCCAGATAGCGCCAGACTGCCAGCCAGTGGTGGGGAACTGAGGCCTGCGGGGAGGTGTGGGGCAGAGAGCTGGAGTGTTTGCCCAGTGCTCTGAGCAGCGCGCGCACACCCACACCCACCACACAGCTCAGAGCCTCAGGGCAGGGCAGAAAGGGTCAACTTTGGTCCTGGGTGAACACAGGTGGGGCCGGGAAGATAGAGACCCCCCGAAATCCCCTGGGAAGGGGGTCGGGGACATGTGTGAACATCTGGGAAGGGGCCCTGCTGTCCTCAGGATTTTAGAGGGACCTGCTCAGAGCAGAGAGCAGGGGGCACTGGGAGGAATGGGGGAGGGGGTCTACAGCGACACTGGGACCAGGGCCTTCCAGACACCGCAGAATGGCTCCCTCGGGAGTTCGCTGTGTCGCTACTCGACCTGGTCCATTGCATCTAGATCTTCCAAGTTCTTGGCTAAAAGTCTTTCAGAACAGCTTGTCCTTCCCAGCATCTGCAGCCTCAGGGTGGGGTGAGCAACTGTCCGGATTCCGTGGGTGTCCAGGACCAGAGGGCAAGCCGGGCCAAAATGGTCACCCCGATGCAGGTGGGAACCTTTTCCTTGCTGGGACCGGCCCTTTGTTCCCTTGCCCTTCTGCTTCCTGCATAGCCATCGTCTCGGTTTTAATTTCCTGGGCTGTTTGTTTCCTGCATCTGTGACTGGCCTGTGGCCAATAGGAAGATCGTGACGGTGGGCCCCAAGAACATCGGGATTGCGATGTTCTCAGAACCCAGGATGCTGTTGACATGTTAAGGACTGGATTTTCTTTTCTCTCTCTCCCCACCTCCCCCAGGTCGAGTCCTGCCGACTCTTTAAGAGAACCCCCTTAAAAACAGACTTGGGTGACTTGGTGTCCAGGTGCTGTTGATGACCTACTGCCGCTTCTGCTGCTGAGAGTCCTCTTAAAGATGCCACTGCGGTTGAGAATGCAAACGTCGGAGTTTAAAAGGAAGTCTGCTGTATGCTGGGGGGATTATTCTCCCTAGACTTTACAGGGAATTAATTCATAGCCAATCAAATGAGAGTAGACATTGACCTTCTTAAAACTTCATTTGTGTTAGGCTTTGTGTTAAGAGACTTGTATGTTCATGACAAGCTTCTGTTTTTAATTGTTTATTTGGGGCAAGATAGTAACAAAGTAGCTCACGCACACATCCATATACACGCGTGGGGGTGGGGTGGGGTTCCCCAGAGCCCCAATGGCACAGTGGTTAAGTGCTTCTCTGCTAGCCAATGAGGTGGCAGGAGGAACCGGTCAGCTGACCCAGAGAGAAAGGCCCTGCTTCCAGGAAGATTGACAGTTTGGGGAGCCCCCTGGGGCTGTTCCACCCTGACTTGCAGGGTCAGGATGAGTCAACATCCACTCGACAGCATGGACTCAATGTGATTTTGGGACACTTTCAAATGGTCTTTCTAATTTTGCATCCAGTTTAATCAGATGATTGGGGTCAACTCCTCAGGCCGCACAGGCTCCCGTGTGCTGCCTGGCCAGCCGGCCATAACCCCTTGCTCACGACGGGTCTGCGCACGGCTGGGCCTAGGCTGGACTTGGTTGTCCACTGCCCTACTCTCGAGTCGTGAAGACGTCAGTGTGAGCGACTCTTGCTGTGCCCGTTGCCGTGCCATTTCATTCATGTTCACCACGTCTGCTGGAGAGGAACATGTTTAATTTCGATGAAATCCAGTGTATCAATGTTTTACTTTCAGGACGCCTGCTTCCTGACAAATCTTCACTCTTCCCAAATTGGGGGGGATGTGGGGAGGGGCGTGTTTCCTGTGTGTCCGTGCCTACCCCTGCCAGGTGTTTCTCTCATGGTTGGTCTCTGATGCAGTTCAGGCTCGGCTTAGTTATCACACACAGTGTGCGCTGAGGGCATGGCTCCGTCTTTCCACTGGGATGGCTGGCTTGCTGCCGTGGTCTTTTTGCTCCCACGGGATTACCCTGGCACCTGTGTCGGAACCCAGCACGGGGAATGGCCAGGGTCTGTTTGGGGCTCTCTGTCCTAGCCCACCGCCACATTCGTCTGTTCAGCCCCCGCACCCCAAAATAACTGGTATTGTGGAAACAACCGAGAAGAGAGTACACGGATGGATTCTCTGCGTTCATAGTCAGCGTCTGGGAGGCCAGGGCTCCTGTGGAGGGAGAACTTCACCTTCATCCGTGGGTTGGAGATGCGTTCCATTCCCATTCTCCTAAGCCAAAGTTATTTCCCATGATGCCCCCCCATAATAATGCCAATTTGAAGGTGCTACTTGCAAGCACATGGGCGCTACTATACATGCTTGAAGGTCAACTGCATGAAGTCTACTTGCCTGAAGGTTGTCTGCCATGGAGGGCAGACCGAGGTGAGGCTGCCAGTATGTGCCTTCCTGTCACGTGTGTGCCCCTAGTGCCTCCCCTTCCTATGTGTGCACACACCCTAGCTCGTCCCCCTCCTGTTACGGGGGTGCCTATTGCACAGCCCCTTCCTGTGACGTGTGTGCTCACCGGGCTTGCATGTGTGACATTATACAAGCTCGCCAGAGAATACATATGCCCCCTCTCTGCTCGGACCTGGTTCCTGAAGCCATGGCGGAGTGAGCATCCCAGTACCTCTGTCAGCCTCTTCACTTCTTCCCTTCATTCACAGCCGTCCCTGAGGGTGTCCGTCCAGATGTGGGGCTGGGCCTCACATTGCATTTGAAAGACTACTTTTACCCACATACCTCTCCTAAGGACGATACAATAGCTTTTGTTCCAATACCGGACTTTTTAATAGCAAATTATACAATTGCTCTAGTTGTTAAGTAAGGATTGCCCTTCACTGATAATAAGAATATTTAAACGCCCGTATGTTTGATACCCAAACCTCACATTTTAACTTCTGAATGTTGAGCATTTGTCTTTCAGACACATCATGCATTGTGGGAACCCACACATTTTTCACCACTAACAAACAAAATTTGATGTGTAGGGTTCGAAAATTCCATTCTCCGAAGAAATGACCAAGTGTTTTCTTCTACAGCTTCGATTTGTCTACTGGAACCCCCTGACTGCCGGATGTGTGCGTGAGCTACTTTGTTACCATCTTGCCCCAAATAAACAATTAAAAACAGAAGCTTGTCATGA